CAAGAAGCTACTAGGGGCTCCTGGCCTTACTACTAGCAACAAGAAGCAACGACACATGAAGCAACGCACACAGCACACTCACAGACTCACAACGACAGTGCGAGAAGCCATCAGATGAACTTGTTGCCTGTTGTAACGAGGAAAAAGATAAAAACGAGCGAGAAACGCGAAACCTGCCAATCACCGTAAGAAGCTCTCCGTGGTGAGCAACCATTTTGGACAATAAGAAATAGACGACTTGAAATTCCTTGTTTGGGGCCACGGCAAACCTTCCTGGCACTATATGTTTTCTTAATAGGGTTCCCCCGAAATAGGGACATGGGAATCCAGGAAGAGCTTCAAACCCAAACAGTTGCCTAGGACAGTCTTTTCTGTGAAATCCTTCATTAGACGTCAATGTTTTAACAAAAACCCTCCAAGTCAAAGGATCTTCTGCTTCCCTTCAGAAATCCTTTGTTCAAATACTGACAACTAAAGATTTCGAAAGTTGGAGGCCGTCGCTTCTAGGTTCGAGGCCATCGCTAGTAGGTTAGTCTTTTCTTTTTAGTTGAATAGTGCTCGGGATTCGAGATAAATAGAAACACTGCTTTCCAAGCTGTCTTGCTCAGAAAATAATATGTCACCGTGTCCTCATCGCTTTCTTCTTTGAAGCCTATGTAGTCCTTTTGAGGTTCCATTGCCCAAAGTTGATCCCAAGCAGTTGCGATGACAGCCACATTACTTTATGCTTGCGTCGCATTTGGCTTACTGTGAGAAGAATCTTGTTCAACCCGAAGCTATTCAAGCATGTTTCCTCTGCAGACTTTGTGTTGAGCCAAATGTTCATACAACGGTGGCTTTCCATGCCTCTACAACTTGCACTAATTGGAAAGCATGTGAGTTCCGCAGCTACTGCCCGCTGATCCATTGAAGCATCTCAGCATTGCTCCATCACCGGCTATCCAAGTATTTTGGATCAGCCACCAAGCAGCTTTGTGCATGGCATGGTTCTGAACAGCCAACAGCAAAAAGAATTCCACTCTCGTAGAATCTCACAAGAACATGAAAACAGTGCACGGTTCCTGGTTTCCAGTATCGCACACCTTCTGTCACATCGAGTGTCGGGGGTTCGCATTTTGACCTTGCACGTGGGCATCCGGCAAAAGCTCCGATGGAAAGCGGGCTTCCCGGGTCCTCCAAATTCAGATGGATTTGCCCAAACGGCGTTTTGCTCCTGGCCTTACTACTAGGAACAAGAAGCTACTAGGAACAAGTGCATCGCTTCTAGTATCAAGTGCCTTACTAGTAGTAACAAGAAGCTACTAGGGGCTCCTGGCCTTACTACTAGTTCTAAAGAAAGCTACTAGGGGCTCCTGGCCTCGCTACTAGGAGCCTTCTTACTGGGTCTAAAACTCTCAAACTCAGAAGATTCAACTGGCATTCAAAACGCATAGCGAAACAAGCGCGAAACAGTGCTCCATGCTGAGCACGTCCTGGCAGTGCGTAATTGCTTACGGCGCAAGTGACGTCGATGGTTGATCTCTTTCAAAGTCAAGCCCTGGCATCCTTGGCCACATTGCCCAGCAACCTGTGTGATTGGAGCTGCATTCAACTGATGTTCCCAGAATGCGTTTCTCATAAACCACTGGAGCCCCTAGTAGCTTCTTGTTCCTAGTAGTAAGGCCAGGAGCCCCTAGTAGCGTTTCTCATGCTGCTTTTCTCATGCGTTTGAATGAGGTTTCTACTTGCGCCGTCCATGTGGTTCAAACCGGATGCGGAGGAACTCCCGTCAACAGTCTTCTTGAGTTTGACTCGTGATTGGTCAAACTTCAGAGTCAAACAGTTTGCTACCTTGTTACTACTAGCTTCTTGTTACTACTAGTAAGGCACTTGTTACT